AACAAATTTAACTTTACAAAGAAATCAATTATGCCAATTACAACACTTATCAAGTTTGACAGGGAATTTCTACAGTATTATGTGTACAGTGCTGATCAATACCCGATGTATTCAAATTACTTACAAGAAAATGTAATCAAAGGAGAACAGGAATTCCAATTACAAATGTAAAATTAGGATTTGCAATAAACATTTCCCTATCAAGATCCAAAGAGAGAAAAACACATTCAAGAAAAGAAATAATATATGTTCAGGTGGGGTGCACAACCATCTAAATCCCCAGAATTGCACAGGTTGCTAGAGCCTGACTGAGAAACAAGGTCAATATTTTCTAATAAAATTTAACACACACACACACTTTCCAAAGATTCAGAAATCTCAGTGCCAAACAGCTTGCATCAGCACACCGTTTGAGACAAATCTGCAAGCTCATGGAATGGCAACTTCAAATATGCTTCTTCCTCCTAAGCTTTTTGAGGTGGGGAACAAAAGGGTAATTTCCAAAATAGGTGAAGTTATTCCTGAACCGAGAAGTTATCTGTATTTTGTGGGAACAATGATCCTAAATTCACTCGGTCTTGTAACAAAGTAGCTCATACTTAATTTTTAGATGGCCTTTCACATAGATTTGACATTTTCAAGTGAACAAATACAAGCTACGTTATGGCTTTTAAGTCTAAAACCAAGCCAGTCAAGTTTTGAAGCTTAACAGGACAAAGAAAGAGCCCCAGTTACTAGAACAACAAAATTAAACTTGGTAAAAGTAACGAATTTTATTTACAAATACATGTAGGAGGATTACAAGAGAAATGCACTAGGGAAACTCGGTCTCAACAAAAGCAATGGTTTATTAGTAAAGGCATTAAATGAAACAAATCGACAGTCTCTGGTTACAGTCAAGCAATTATCCAGGAGCTGTAGGTAAAAGTTAAGATCTCCAATTGCAGTAAGGCCTTCCAGTGTCTTTTTGCATCCTAGTGGCTCTCTCCTTTTTTGCCAACTACCTGGTAAGAGAAAAAACCACCAAATAACATTTAAACAATCTTGCCCCGCTAAGTATTTTTTTTTAATTAGGTCTCAATATAAAGAAGTGCAACTGAATTTTCAGCTATAGTAATGCATTTCAGCATGAATTATTGAAGCACTTGCAGGAGCTGTGATCCCCTCTGAAAGGTTAAGAGGGATGCAAAACACACAAGACACCTTATCTGTAGTACTAAGACAAAGCATCAGTCTCCTTTTGAGAAGAGTTAGAAGACAGTAACTGCAACCAGACCACACCTAATCTAAGGTATACCAAGTATTCAACCTTAATGCTATGTAAAATACTATCATGGGAAGAACCACTGGGTGCCCAAACGCATGTTCCCTTCCCCTGGCCTTGCTACTTACCTCACTAAGAACATTTGCCTTACAACGCAGTTGAAACCTATAAAGAAATCTGGAAGTCACCTGATTTTTGGTTATTCCTTATCAAAAAAAAGATTCCTTACCCAGTCTCCTTCCAATCTCCAATTCTGCAAACTCCACCTGGAATCAGAATCACCTTAGTGCTTCCCTTTTCTGAATAAGATCACCCCTGCCCCCAGACTCTGGTGAGTCAGTTGGCCAGCCAACAGTGTTCGACATCCTGCTATGCAGGTTTAAATTTAGCATAGTTCACTGCAGAAGGGCATACAGTCCCCTTTGTTAAGATTAGCAAACAAAAAATCCTGAGAGCAGAAAATTATGCCATTTTAGTCACTTTTCAGAAAGGATTTGGACAGAATTTTAGTGCTTTTGCAGATGCATGGGAAAAAAATCCATTTATAAGCCAAACAAACAAAAAAAAAATTAAAATAAGTCCTCAAGTTTAAGACTCAAACTGCAGACGGGACCTTGGGCAAGGTACCAATTCCCAATTCATGTCCATCTTGCTAGAGCAGCGCTTACAGGTCTAACAAGGTGTAGTCAGAATTCCCACAAACAGAGATTTGAAGATTACATTAATGGAACATAGTTTTTCCTGTTACTACTCGTAATGATGCTGAAAACGAAGGAGTAAAACCTTTCTAACCAACTGCCTGCGATAGCAAATGCATTAAGCATTAATTACCTCTGCAGTTAAGTGACAATATAACACACAAGATTTAAAGAGTCAACAATGAAATACAGAACTAGAGGGAAAGCAAAAACAAAACAAGAAAACCAAACACACCAAACAAACCAACACACCCATGGTCCTAAACTAGGGAATTCTCATGGACCCACTAGAAGTATTCTTCCTGATCTTTCCCCTTTTTTCATTTCTTGTCAACCTTCCAGAGGGAAAATTTTGCACTATCCAGCTGCTTTTGGTCAGCTGAGTTATCACTGTCACAAAATAATTGAGATTTACTGATGAAAAGTACTTCTAAAAAACATTTTCACCTCCAAGGAACCCCTGACTAGGAGAATTTCACCAAGCTGTAAATTCAACCTCATGTTTAAGGGTCAGGAAAATTCCAATCTGACAAGATTAGGAACGAAGGAAAAAAAAAAATTATCAGAAGCCAAATCACTTGCAGTAAGATTCAATTAATGAAATTAAAAAGGAAAAGACCAGTTAAACTTGTCAAGAAGCAATATTCTTTATGTGTATCCAAAGCAAATAAACTGCGTTAACACATAGATTAAGGGGAAAAAAAGAAAAAGAACACAGTTCAAATATTAAAGATTAGGTGTTAACAAGTGTGGAAGAACAATGAAAAATCTTGCTATACCAGTCCGAGGCAGCAATTGACAACTGTCCCATGTGTATTATCTGTGAAAAATCACACTCATATGGATAGATTGTCATCACATGTCAAAGAAACACATTTCCTGACCATCCCACTTCACCATCCCAAAAGTAAACAGTGTATTTAAACCTCAAACTAAACAATTATCCTTATTCTTTTCTCAGAATTAGATCCATTTTTCTTCCTTTACAGCAACTGCCATCTAGTGCATTCTAAGGAAGTGGTTACAGCTGGGAATTCCCACAAAATGATGACTGTTTGGAACAGGCTTTTCTTTAATCATTTGGTTCCCCCCCAAGCATCAGTCCAGAGCCTGACGGTGACAAAACCACAACCAACTCCATGGTTTCCAGTTCAAGAGTAGGACTGGAAACACTTTCTTGCTGAACCTTCTTGAGGAGAGTCGGTTTTGTTTGTTTCAAAGATATATGAAGATGTGGAGGAAGTAAAATGAGTAGGATGCTGGTGGTATGTCACCAACTCCTCCCCATGTCTTCCCCAAGCAGATGCCCAGTGCCACTAGAGTGGCAATACAGAATAGCCCTTTGCAGCACATTCTGGCTTGCTTCCTACTTACTGAAGGGTCATGACAAAGAAGAATACTGAGCTCCACTAAGATATTAAAAAAAGTTAAGTCTGCGTAGAGTATTTCACAAGCTGCACCTTAAACAGCTTGACAAAATTCAATACAGGCTGAAAAATTAGTTACAGAAACTAATTTGGTAAGTACTGTGTGGTATATGCCTTTAAAATGTCAAGTTGGGAATAACAGCGGGACAGAAGTTGGGTAAGACTGTAAGAGAAGTAAGAGACATGTTTAAGATAAGATTTGGAGCAGAGAGTGGAGGGGAAAGCTGAGATGATCAGTCAGAAGGGAGAAAAGGCTGTTCCTGCTGGTAGAAGGTGCAGAGAAGGTGGCTCTTGCAGCAGCACTTGAGATTGTGGAAAGGGTGAAAGAGCTGCTAGATGAGCAGAGGGAGCAGTGCAAGACCATTTCAATCTTAGTATTACTTTTTAATTTCTGCCTTTTTAGTTATTTAGAAATGGGAAGTTAAGCTGAAAACCAAACAAAATGTTTCAAAAAAAAAAAAAAGGCAGCAGCATTTAGTAATAAGCAGTTCTGAATAGAAAGCAAGCCTTCCTTCACAAGGGGACTAAAAATACCCCAAAACCTGTTGATACTCATCTATGCCCCAGCAGTTTATTCCTTAATACCAGAAATAAGCAACAACTAGATTGTACAAGCTTTTCCAAAAACAAAAGCATGTTTACAAATTCACCATGAGATTCACAGGAGCCTACCCTAATGCTAAGTGATCAAGCAATAGTAAACAGCCCCACAGAACTTGCACCTTCACTCTGTACTTTCAGCTGTCTGCCTAAAATCATCCAAGTGAGTATCTCGGAGCATCAGAACAACTCAAATGCAGTCTACTACAGTAGTTTAGATGACTGGTTGTGCCTTAAGTCAGACCCTGGGTGACCAAGAAACAGCAGTATAAACACTTCTAAGCCCTAAGGATATTTGTTAAAACATGCACACCTTTGAATCCAGCTTTGCCAAAAGCATTTCGGAATATATTAAATACATATAGGAAGGGAATAGTCATCCTAGTCCTCTGCTAATAGGACAAAGAATAGGTCTCTCCCTTCTACTCTCTGTGCTTACTACACCACAGTCAGTTCCAAGCAGTATCTTTTCCCAGGATTTTTTTTTCCCCTCTTTTCCATCACTCCACAGACTTCTCTCCTCCCCAGAGGATAAAAATCAAGCTGTGCAAAGACCAGGCCACACACAACATATTAAACCAAGTTTCTAACTTTACTCACTCCATCCAGCAATACCAACTACACAAGACATTTTTTACACCAATAATCACTCACTGGAGCAACCTCCACAGGGATGCAGCAGAGTTCTTGCAAGAGGTTTTCAGGATGCTAAATCATTTCACCTAGGCTCCCTTTCCTGTGAAAGGTTGGATGAGGTGATCTTTTAAGGTCCCTTCCTCAAAACATCACGTTCTGTGACGCTATGAGTTTCCAAATTATCTCTAGGCCAAAAATCACTACTGAAAGGACTGAGTTATCTACTAGAGCTTAGCACTTGTGTTACTTTTCAGAGTAGATGTATTTCAGCTTTTTATTTGATAGTATAAGTACTGGAAACAAGACTTGATCAATATTAAACACATAAACTTGTAGGAAACTCGTTCAGTGGCTCATTTGGTAACTATGTGGAGCTGCTTGATACAACAGTACATTAGAGGATGGGAAAAGAACAAGCCAAGGACATTGAGTGATAAGCAAGCTAGTTAAGGAGGATGTGAAACTGATAAGGTTCTCAGAGCAGAGCTGAAAGAATCAGTAACAGTTTGCGTGAGATCAGCGCGTGGCCGAGACAAAGTAACCTATCATAAACTAGTAAGATATGTGTGTAACCAATTAGAACTTAGCAAGATACGTGTGTTAGCCTCGTGTAGCGTGCATTAAGCTATATATACCCTGTGCTGTTGCAATAAAGGGTCTCTGATCGCACACCTGCTTTGGAGTCCGTGCCGTCATTCCCTCATAAACTAACTCCCTGATGAAGAAGAGGCGATTCTTACGAACACTTAAACTCAGGGAAAAAAGCATTCCTCTGTCTTGTTTCTAACACTGCAATACTACTTCTATCATAATTAGAAGATAAATACAAACAGTAGAGATGGGCTGAGATGAGGGAGCAGTGAGGAGTAGTGTGGGTAACCACTTAAGGAGATTAAAAGAAAAGTAAGGTTTCCCAGTTAGCCTACAAATCTAAATATAATTAATTCCCAAGGTTATATTAAGATTTCATAACTGACAGGAATACTGGAAGAGAGGAAACTAAAGTTTAAATTCCTAAGAGCACTGCAACTCTGCCAGACTACACATCCCCTTTGTGACGATAAAATATTTTAACAACCTAATATTAAAGCTACACACCTGGGAAGCAAAATAAGAATATTACATGATCGACCGTTCCAGCTAGTTCCTTAACAACCTGATGTAACCAGCACAATGCCAATACTGTGGGACTGTCTGGTGCATCCACAGCTTGGCAAGTTTGTGCCCCCTCCCATTTAAAGGGATGTCACAGACAAGGGCACACTCCACAGTGCCAAGACCTGCAAACTTTAAGGAAACCTAAATTGTTAACCGGAACAGTATTTACCAGGCTGTATAGCAGCTTCAAAGCATCCATGCTACATCCAGAACTGTGAGAGCCGTCAATTCCCTCTTAACTACAGCAGAGGGCAAGATATCTGGAGACCCACGCCACATTTAATGCCTTTATAGGGTTGCACAAGGGCACGCATGAATTCAAAAACCCACTTGGCACACAAAAACCCACCGCAACTCATATTGTTTTAATACATTAGAACAACTTTTTCAATCACCGAGTTTCATTGAAAGGCAGCAAAACCTGTTAAAACTTCTATTTATTAACTTAATAATTACCTGCAGAGATATTAAGTTTTACATGTAGAAGTTAAGATCAAGTTCTGACATTAAAAATGCCAAGTACGTGACATGTTGGCAAGTGTTTTTAACCTTCTGAAGATATAGGTTATTCGTATAATAAATTTTGTGGTGCTTTCAGTGTTATTAGTCACCTACACACTAGTTTGTAGGCAGATGTTACAGCAGTATTTGCCCTTTTACTATGTTGTACACCAGTTTTTTTAAAAAAGACTTATTACACTTTGAAAAAGATGTGTGTTTAAAATTTCAATCCTTCCAAACCTGTTTCACATTCTGAAAAGAATCAAGAGCCGAGAGTGCCTTACTGTTCAGCACTAGTGTGTCTAAATTAATCCAGCAATGAGTTGTTTGCTTTATTCCCTCTTTCAAAAGCAGGTATGTTAAATTAAACAGACACCTTGTGACCAAATATTTGTCAGAATTCAAGCTTAATGTGGCCAGGTGAATAAAATCCTTCAAAGGAAAAGTCAACCACAAGGAGCCTGTTTAATTTGCTCATGCAACTGCTTCTCTACTTCCTGAGCAGCAACAGAAAGCAAGTTTCAAAATCAAGACATAAATTTCACAGCTATTAAATAAAATAACATTGTGTGTAGTGTCTATAACTTGACAATTCCTCAAGTTTTCTTCTATACATTCTTATCCATTATTTTGACAAAGTCAATGAACAAAAACTTGTAAGCAAGACCAAAGACATGCCAAGATCAAGCCACGCGGTTTATTTTGGATGCCAAAACTACCCTTAGTTGTAGAAATGTAGTAACAGCCAAGCATATTTGTTCCTTCAACCCATTTTTTGAGTAGGTTTATAACATTCAAAAGTGCTTTTAAAGAAAGAGGACTCACTCGCTTGAAGTCATTCATATTTGTTGCTTGGACCAGAGTTCCGATAAATGTGAAATATGTAACTCTTGTGGTCTCTTCATCACCATGATTGGACTGGACAAACAACTACAGAAAAAACCCAAACACAAGAGTTAGTCAACTGTCCATCCCTGAATGAATACACAAAAACATTTGGTGCCCAAGAGTTTTGAACTAACCAAATTAACACTTTTTCCAATATCAAGGCCTCTATCACCTTTAGAGAAGTTACTATCCTCTTATTTTAAAGAACGATTATATAGAACGCTATTATTTTCCCAGTAGTTTGTTAAAACCCCCCCACAGCTCGGATTTCCCCAGCTTCCACTTGTGACCCAAGACCACACTCGGCAAGCAAAAGCAGGATTTAAGAAGTCACAATTCACTAGTCACTGTAATATGACTGGAAATCAAGTTAAATATCAATTTAACTACACTTGCCAAAGCCCCTAAGACTATTCACATGTAGTTTACTACTACAGCTTGCATAATCATGTTTTTTTAGGAATATTCGTCTTGGAGGTTATTTTAGGGTTTCAAACAAATATCAAGCTTCTTCAGAAGTACGAACTAAGGATTTATTGCTGGAACCACTACACTTGCTAGAGTAGACAAATGAAAGAGCTTTTTTTTTTTTTTGCACGAGGCAGTAAGGAATTTGGAGTTAAAAGAGCAAGGAGGTGTTTGTGGATCTAGACCAGTACAGACATTCACCCCTCCAAGGGGCTTTCACTGTAGTTGGAAGAGTATGTATTTCCCTATAAAAACAAGATGTGTGGAAGGTGAGGGTGGGAATCCCGAAGAAAGTGCTCATCAGATGGAAAGAAACAGAAAAACATGCCAAAGACTGACTTTTGACAAACAGAGGTGAACTACAACATGTTCTGAGATTCTGTCTCAGGAATGATATGAAAAGTTCAGCAAGTACAGAGAAAAAAGCCACTGAAGTAGCAGTAATGAAGAGAAGCACACAACAAATAGGGGAAAATGGCATTAGATATGAATTGTATGGACTGACTTACCTTTTTTAAAAAATTATTAACTAACAATCCTAGTAGTGTTTTTATATATATATATATATATAAATGAAGTATAAACTTGCCAATACTGACATGGAAACATTCCTTAAGTAGTTATAATTATACGTGGCAGAAGAGCAAGACAATGTGTGCATGACAACTGTTCATCAGGAACCAAATGAAGACTTATCTACAGTGCTATGAAGCAAGCAGAACTTCATGACCCACACTGGAAAGCCAGGTGGTGGAAAAGGTGACCGAACACCTCATTTTTAGGAGGTCTTAAACATAGAAACCAGGTTTAGTTAGGAAACTGGGAGTTTTACTGCAACACCCACACACAAAGAGCGCAAACAAGCAGAACATTTATTTAATCATCTTATCACTTGCCTGGTGTTTGCACATCATCCCATCTAAACCTGACACAGGATTTTATTAAAGAACAAATACGTAAACTTATACTTGTCAGCACAGCTTTGGAGAACATAAGTCTACATGGCCGATATCCATTTCATTCAGGGGAGGATAAAGTTGGTGGCAAAGGTAATGCCACGGAAATAACAGATATGAAAAGGAGTTATTGGAAAACCAGTTCAACTTAACACTGCAAGAAATGAGGCTAGCGCAGTACCAGGCTAATGCCAGGCATAAAGCAATTCAAGCATCAATTTAGTCACTACAAATATTGTACTAGAAGTCTGTATTTTTAAAATGGAAGAGGAGAAGCTAAACCTGCATTTAAGAGTCCAAAACCCTATGTGAAATCTATGGAAAGTCTTACAGCAAGAGAATTCGAGAGCTTATTAAAAGACAAAGGTGCTTTGATTATAGCATTTAAGAATCCTCACAGAGAGCAGGTACTGAGTTTAAAGACATCGCAAGTACTTCACTCGACACTCAAACTCTCATTTCTGCAATCAGGTTACTGAGAAACTGGATTCCTTGTCTCTTCAAATGAAGAGAAGATGCCTTTCAAGCAAATAGGTTAGTAAAAATGCAAGTTGTGTTAAACAGCACGCTAGCTGATGTGACAGCAAGCCTTACGTCGCACGCTAGGTCAGGGACATTGCACGCACGTGGCCTTGTCTCACCTTCACCTCCTTAAAAACACTTTGCGTAAACACACGACACGAATGGCGGAGAGAAACTAAACACACACCCAATGTTATCAGCAAACATGCACGGCTTTAAAAGCCTGTGAGGTTTTCAGCCCACACAGACCTCCAAACAGAAGCTTTACTTACAGTTACACTGTTAACATTCTGAAATTTTACATAGCGAAGATGGATAATCCCATCTTCTTTAATATCATCTGGTGTCAGCTCCAAGGCTTGAGTTGGTTCACTTTGTTCTGCTTCTTCAAAATCCATAGATCGAGGAAGGTTGATAAAGATCTTTATGTACTTTGGACCTTGCCCTGCATTAAAAACAGTTGTATTGCATTGTTTAAATATATTTTCAAAATGCTGCTTGAGAAACCCACACTTCTCAGTCTCTAGATACCACGCAAGGAAGGCACGAGCTTCTATAGTTCTAGTACCTTATCGGCCAATCCTACATCACCACCCTGGATACGGAAAAACATCCAGAGTTGCACTACTCCTCTATGCATCAGAGATGGAATTCCACAGAAAAGAATCCAATAAAAAGTCTAAAAGTAATAGTTTTGCTGTGTTAAATAACACCTGAAGACTTTATTTTATTAGTGAGTGGATGAGGCCCTCTACAGACAGATAACAACAGCCTCACAGTCACATACTCTGGTCCTCATGGGGGACTTCAACCACCCCCATATCTGTTGGAGGGACAACACAGCAAGGCAGAAGCAAGCCAGGAGGTTCCTGGGATGCGTCAATGACAACTTCCTTATCCAAGTGATAGAGGAGCCGACGAGGAGGGGTGCCATGCTGGACCTTGTTCTCACCAACAGGGAGGGGCTGGTGGGGGATGTGAGCCTCAAGGGCAGCCTTGGCTGCAGCGACCACGAAATGCTGGAGTTTGGAATCCTTACGGAGGTGAGGAGGGTGCACAGTAAACTCGAAACCCTGTATTTCAGGAGAGAAGACTTTAGCCTCT